TCCGGCAGAATCGCTCCTTTCTCAAGTCGTTCTCCCCCTTCCTTCCGCCCTGAACACTCCCGCCTATATTATTCTCGCCATCAATCTCAATATGTTGCTTCTGGGCTATCGCAAGCGGAGTGGGCTCGATCCGAATTCCCCGTCCCCTTTCCTGTCGATATACCTCTATGATATATGAAATAAATGCGGAATAATACGAGGGACATGTCGCGACTGCAACTTCCTCGAGACTAAACTCATTCTTGGGAACCGATCGGATTGTCATGCTGTTGAAATTCGAAACACCGAACATCTCGATGACCGTGATGACTCGGACATGTCCAGCGACGGCCTCGCTGGCGTTTCGACTGCAGAGTGGTCAAAGCATCGATATCCGACGACAAAATTCGCTTACTAGTGGTACACCGGAGGACGACTTTACTCGAATAATGAGGGAGGATTTAGATGTTGGGACACGAGGGACCTGAAATATTCGTGGGGCGCTTCGCTCCGAAAATTCTCTCAGAATCATACTGGGAAAATGGGAAGGATGAGACTTTAGTATCGGAGGCCCTATAAATCGAGCTGCCCGGAAGCATCATACGCAGATAGCGCCTCTCCGTCTCGGATTCGCTGGCTCCTCGGAACGGTGGCAAGCAGTCAAACAATATCCTCGGCTCCCCTTCTGAAGCTCATCGGATCCCATTTTCCCGATTACGTGGTCATCTAATCCATTTGCCAATGAAACTCATTCGAGGTTCGGAGACTTAAATTTAGATAGAAGTCGTATCGAAGCACCACGGGGGCTGGGTGAAGTCAATTTATAACCTCCAAGCGTATGAAACAGCCTCTTCTCTCCTCCATGCGCCCGTCCGACCAGCTGTCGTCCTCAGCGGACGACACGGGTCACAGAGCTTTCTGAAACAGTCCGTCTTTCCAGCGAGGGTCGATGGGAATGATGCTCTCTAGCTCAAGCGTTGGATTCATTGCGATTTTCGCGCAGTCAAAGGCGTTCACAACACATCACGTCTATTTTTGACTGAGGTCTGCACATGCTCTGGAGCAGGGATGAATGTGAAGAATGTCGAGAGTCACAAAATGGCGAGAAACTACCTAGTGTGAGTTTCGTGGCCATATGGGTCGATTTGATGATATCCGGGGGGCTCCGACCTCCCTTCCGGTAGGTATAGGGGTACATTTATATGTAGAAATATGTATTTCCTGTTTGAGCCCCTCTCGGCGAGTTCGAGCGGAAGTTCCCGACTGACGCGGATGAGTGGGCTCATTTTAAGTTTCTGAAGGTAAGGGACGTGCTGGGCACGGGATCCTGCAAAAATCCTGTTTTCCTTTGCGCTCTTCTTCCCATTCTACATATAAGGATATCTCCTTCTTCGAGCTTGTGGTTGAGCTTCCTGGTCCCGGACAGAGCTGCAGAGAATTTCCGTCATGATATCGAGCAGCTCCGAGATCCTCCGTGATTCGGTTGACTCCCCTTGTTCCATATCCGCTGCTCCACTTATGGGGTATTCTCATAACCTCTCATCGAGTTTAACGGTATTTTCTAAAACCTCTCCAATTTCTGACTGAGCCGTGTCCCGTCTTATCGGCAATCGAGCGATGCATGAGGAGAAAGCAGAGGGTAATGATTTTGAAGATCTGGGTTGTGCGCTTTCCCCATGGCACTCTTCCTTCCCGGCAGAGTCGCGGGAACATCATCAGTAATGCGCATTCATTCAGTAATGTTCTGCTCCTCTGGCGTACATAAGGTCGCATGGGAACGCATGAAGCCCTCTATGCTCTTTTCGGTGGTTCTTTTTTGGAAGATAAAACCATTCAGCTCTTTCGCGAACGAAGTCACCGACAATGGCTTCTACACGAATTCCATTCTGCCGCTAACAACTTTGCTGAATGGAGACTCATGGAAAGAGAACGACTCGGGCGATGAAATTCAAAAACTCCATTGTTCTGCATGCTGAATCCTGAGTTCCAGAGCGATCGGATCATACAGAACGACCGAGGACGACTGGAGCATTAAGACTTCAATTAGTGGATTTTTTGACGACGCTACCCCGCTTCAAGATCTAAGAGATCGATGTTTCTGAAATCTCATCGACATTGTGACGGAAAATCATGGTTACGTAGTGAACGTCGAATGGGAATTCAGGAGAGATCGAGAGGCAGTGTTGATTAACCGGGGACTGTATGAAAGTAAGCACACCCGAAGCCATCGGCTAGTTACGCTCGAGGAGTCCTCATTGTCGGGAAAATCACTCCTATAGATAATCGACATCGTCCCTGTGTGTCTCTGTGGGAGGCAAGAACAGCATCTTTGTGAGGACGGGGTCGACTCATACTTGATGACTGATGACATACTGAGACGACGCTCTGCTATTTCGACGATTCTGCAAAAAAAAGGCTCGACCAAAGAAGAATCAGAGAGCGGAACTCTTGCCCTAGGGTCACGAATGTCAGAGCATCATACGCCCGTTTGGCCGCATGATATATTTACACTTACTGGGGCGAGGGGATTTTTTTCGCGGAAACAAAAATAGCATTCGTCTTGCTCCGAGATATTGGGTCTATTCCAAAAGACTTGATGGAGTCCTCTGACGGCGAGAGTGAGGCTGACAACTGTTGGCATCGCCACTTCTCCATAGAATAAGCCGCGACGGCTCATGGCCTCGACGATTGATCGATTGTGGTCGCTACCTCAAGGCGCGCGCGAGCTCTCGGGACATGCAAAACCCCTCGGATCCCCATATCATATCTCTCAGCATCGGTTTCCCTCGTCGAGACCGTTTGAGAGTCTGATTCCGATCTGGATCCGGAAGCCAATTCCGGTGACCCCGGTCTCTCGGGACTGATTCTAATCGGGATGCAATTGGAGGCGAAGAGAGACCCGAGCTTTGGCGTAGCGAAGCCGATTAATGAATTCCGGAATTTCGGTAAAATCCCGAGCCATGGTCCGAGTCGAGGCATATTGAAATGCTAGCGAAAAGACTTCTCTGTCACAAGGCAGAACCGATCGCTTTCCATCTCACGGAGTCTACTGAGACTCGTGCCTCTGACATCGGCGAACGAATCCATGGTCACATTCCGATTTCGGCGCAAGGGAGGGTCATGTGTTCGAACATCATCTCTCCCTTCGGGAATTACTTCATCGTGATCGTCCTAGGTCGAGGTCGATATCGGTACCCTCGGTCAGATCGTATTGGACCATTCAGTCCGACCCAGATTCGTCATATTGGATCCAGGGAATTCCGAAGAGAGTATTCCGCCGAGTAAGGAAAATATTCGACGACCTCCGATAGTTCACCCTGCACGCTCAAAAAGTAACTTCGAGCAGAAAAAAGTTCAAGGATGCCGACTTTCGGCACAGTCCTACCCGGTGATCACAGTCTTCGGGGAAATCAACCATTCGATGATCCGAAGATTCGTAGCCAGTGCGCAGAAATTCTCGACGAAATACTCGAGTGACGATGAGTCTATTCGGGTCAGAAGGGTCGTGGCGAAGTGAGTCCGAAGCAACTTCTCGGCACAATCCTTCATTCCCGAGACACAAAGTTGATGAAATCTATGAATTATATGACGTCTTCGTGAGAGACACGGGATAGAAATCATCAATCCCGCTCCATGCCATCTCCTACTGCATCAGTACGTTTCCGCACCGACTGCTTCGGGTCCACGAATACTTCACATCGAAATATTTGGGGATCTTGAGCTGGGAGGAAGCACCGGGCGGCAAGAAAACCGTACTCGAGAGCAGACAAACGGACACAGACCCGAATTCGTCGTGCGTTATGAGTTATGAGTGATTCCAAGAACGTACTCTGACAATTTCTCGGATTAATAATTACGAAAAAATTGATCTTTGAATTGATCCAGATCGATACCCACTTCCGAATATCAGGCTCGCACCAGAATTCCTCTAACTGTCTGGAACCTGAGAATAATTCTCCCGTCGGGGGCAGAACTCGAGTGTCCGATCTCCCTCGCCCACTCCAGAGCCTTGCAATGATCTTCTCCTTGTGCTATTGTCCCCGGCGCGAAGGATGTATAATAAGGATCCAAGATCCCTTGAAGGTCTCCATGTCTAATGAAGGTTAGCTTCGGGTTTGGTAGATCGCTGAGGACAAGCCAGCTGGTTGCTCTTGGAGGGTGCTACATAAGTCGAACAATGGGGCAGTTTTCGATCAACGAACGTTCTCTATCGATCTCTCTCTTTCCTATGTTTGACCCCTGCATCCGGCAGGATTTTGGACTAGGGCGTCACGAGCCGCGAGATCCTCGCGGACGAACGGTGTTCCACGAATTGTCAGTTCGATATCAGAAGAGGCAATGAACGGATCCATGCATACGTGGAAGCTCGGTTTTTATTTCCCAACGAAATCTATTCTGTTCCGTGGGAGCCATGGGAGTTTCTTCTCATTCGAATTCAATCGCATTCGCAGACCATGCAATCTTTGGTGAAGGTTGCCGTGACTCTCACCCGCTTCAATGCCCGTCGTCAGTCGGCAGGTCTCTCCCCCGGAAGGCTACGTACGGAGTTTTTTGCCGAGGGAGAGACGATGAGCCTCTCAGGCGATTTCGGACTCTAGACAAATGCCTGAAGAATCCCTCGACCACTTTCTGGCATCACCTTGGCGAAATTTCAGGGACGAGACAAAGAGCATTGATCGTCGACCGCAAGGCAGAGGCAGCACCGAAATCGGCCGCATCTTGCCTATTGCCGGTCGCTCTCACTAGGAAGATCATTCACGAACGAGCCTGAGACCTCCGGAGGGCATTGCGATCAGTGATCGCTGTTCATTGCAACACGAATCTCTGCGCGCATCCGGAGACATCAGGCGGCAGGGTCGCTATGGGTTCCACCTCCCTCAGTCGAGAAATAAATAGGATGAGTCAGCTTGTGTGTCTCTCGAATAATGCTTCTGCTACCCGTATACGATTGCACGTTTACAATTCCGCGGCAAAACACAGGCGCTCATGCTGTTCCGACTCTCTCGGACATATCCACTTGCACAATAGCATCTGGGTCCAGTGACATTCCGGCACTTATGAAAAGGATCGATTTGGCCACAGTAGGCTTGACAGCCCGCTGGTCCCCAGCTGTAAAGCTCTTCGTTTGCCCCGCAATGGAGGTCCACAGCTGTGGGATGGAAAAAGAATCGATTCATCATCCCATTATCAGTTTCATGGATTTGAGGAGGCGAGCTCCTCTGCGAAAAATGCACGGCATGGGAAGAAGAGGTTTTTCTAAGACTCAGGCTTACCTCGGCGGGCACTTTTAGCGTAGTAACAAGTCCAGTTACCTTCAAGCACAACTACATCCCGCCGTGGTTGGGGTGGTTGAGCGGGACACGACAAACTCATCCCGAAAATCACAACGACAATAAAAGCCAATACACTCATATCGTGGCCACGTTCGACGCTCGAATGATTCGAAATCGCATGACATAACCGATCTTATAGATATTAGCCAGGAAGCTCGATGGATAATTCAATCGGAAAAGCGAACATGTCGCTGAATGGAAGCTCGCACGACCCCCTTGGGCTCCTCTCTCTTTTTTCCTCTCGAGTTTCTGTCGTCACTATTCATATCCGATCTAAAGTTGTTGGTTACGCTCTGCTGATGTCCCACAGTCAGCGCTCGTACAGATATTCCGTGGCAAATTATCGTCATTCGAAACAACTGCCGATCGCGCTCCATTAAGGGCTCTGCATGGTCACGTCAAGCAATGGCACGCCACTCGAACAAATTTCCGCTCTGAAGAGACATAGGTCGGTGCTTGCTCGATGGTGATGGTATTCTCTGCCATTGCAGAGTCGACTCAACCAATCAAGCTCGATGAACCTGATGTCAATCGGTCAAGCGAACATCGGACCCGGAGGTGAGTCGAATTAGATCCGAGCGACAACTCATTCCCTGCCTAGTCCCAGTCGTTCGGCTAATTCGACCATGGCTCTGCTTTTGGATCCGGCTCCGAGGGGAAACGTCCCATACGAGCTTTTTGTCTATTTCTCGATCGGAAGATGTGCATCCTTTCGCGGAAGGCCGGTGCCCGTGGTCCGGTCTAGACTGGCCACCAGGAGAGTGCAGAGATCTAAGAGCTGGTAGATCCCAACGGATATAAGCGTCGAAACCGGGGATGCTCCCCGAATTTCTCCTTACATTATCCGTCGATACGCTCTTGGAGTATCGCGCCTCTCACGATGCTCCGATTTCCCCATGCTTCCCATAGTAAACGAGCAGACGGAGCCAAGAAAATCCGCCTCGCTCCCCTGACTTGCAGACTCTGCACGAGAGGTTGACCACAACTCTAGCCCCCAGAACCAGCATTAGGGATTCTGGGGACAGATAATTGTGTCGATTCCAATCGTAAAGCTCGTAGAGGGTGCCCAGCGTGAGATTTTCTCTTCCTCCTCTTGGCGGGACTGAGCCGCCGGTTTCATCGAGTCCGGCTCGAAGAGTTTTCGAAGGGCCATTTGTAAGATGTAGGGGCTCTGTGGTGGAAAGCAGGACGGACGCTAGCAACACTGCCACAGCATTGTCAGTCCGTGTATTCTAGGCGTCTGATCGCAGGAAAGCAGTTGTCCCGCTCAATACGGCTGCCGCTCGGACTCTTCCGGCGTGGAAGCTCTGATGATCAGAGCTCGCGTTGGGATGAGGAACCGCCCGGCCCCGTCTGAGCACTGCGCGAAGATCATCGACATCATTGTTTTCCCCGCGCGGTGTTGACAGTTGACAGATCCCATGTAAACTGTGTATCGATATCTTCTTACCCACTCCATAGTTCACGAGATTCCCGGAAGTGTTCAATGCTTGGGGCTCTACGCTCACGGTGAGTTATACGGAACATCCAGAGCAGCTATGGATTCACATCTGCTCGACAGCCTCCCCGAGGAGAACAGATAATAACAATAATAGACAGAGTTCCAGACGGAGAGGGGAGAGCGATAAGGTCGGAAGTTCTTTGACAGCAGACTCATCATCCGTCATGTGGGTCCGTCACTGAACCTGTGAGTCCTAAGCTGGATGCAGGGTTCCTTTCCGAGGTGAGCAGGAGAGCTGACGTAATAATAACTCCAGATATGGATATTCACAAGGATTCCCTGCCACATCCATCCTTCACACCTGTCAGATCGAGTTGACGAATGAATCGTCCTCTTCAGCGACAATGTTTTCGTCTTGGGAGATTCGATCCATCAAGGAAGCTCTACCGATCCTTAACGTTATCTCTCTAACGAACTTCGAGGCCCTTTGCAATATAGTCATTTCCCGTATGAATGGAGAGTCCACGCCTTCTACAGAGAAACATTTCGGTGAGTCACCGAATATCGGATCTTTCTCCACGCGGCATTCCGAATGAACCGTCCTTATGATTCGGAATTAATTCACAGGGGATTCCTTGAAGTTGACGCTGACGGAGCTCTCGGTGGCGCTTCAAGGACTCCAAAGCATCTTGAGCGCTTGCACCCTCCAGCTCACCAAGCCATTGATCCTCTTGCAAAAGCTGCGAGAATGCGGTTTCTCTGCGGAACACTCGGAGAAACTCGCCTCTATTTGGGCATTACACGCACAGCAACTAGTGAACCGAGCTAGGGGTAGTCAAGTTACACAGGTAATCAGTTTTGGACGAATTCAGCACCAGAGATCAACCGCTAGCTCGACTTTCCGGGACTCGCTTCAGTCATCCTGATAACCGTTCGCAGCATGGGTGACAAAGTTCTCGAATTTTCAGGGCATACGTCTCTCCCTTAGTGGCTGGGAGATTCATGCAAATGTGGCCAACCCTCAGCCCGTCGTTTCACTGTCGTTGCGGATCGGTGAGGAGAACAAAGTTCTGGATATGGATAGAGCCCAACTGGAGAACCTCTTCGATCAAATCCAGCAGATCCAGAAGGAAGTTGACGCCTTACTCACGGCGGACTAGATATACAGACGAACAAGCAGAATAAAGGAACATGTCTCTTGCTTTCGACTCCTGACTTCACTCTTCGCGTTCGCGATATGAATAATTCTATGGATCGAATGATTTTCGGATTCAACGGAGGCTCGGGTTCACAAATCTCGAGTCGAGTCCTGCGTCCAAGAATCCTCGTAGAAATCGTGTCTCGAAGGGCAATTCGATAGACTTCAACCACGCTGCTTCTACTCTCCTAGCCGCGACGTACATCCCTCTCGCTGAGAGGGAACACGGACATCAGGGGAGTTCTTCGAGAGAACCGGTAGAATGCCCGTCGAAGATCTTCGTAGGTTTCCCAATGAGGAGAATCGTCTCATACGAACTAGCGACATTCCGAAACACAAAACGTGGATCCCCTGTTTCCCGGTGAATGGAACGTCAATGTGTACCTGAGGTGATGAATGAAAATCAAGAATGCACTTTTTTGTGACGGTCTCGCTGGTCCATTTGTTCGAAACCTGAGAGCTTGGAGCGGGAGCTTCTCCTCTCCGTGAATGACGCTCCGGCATAGGCCAGTCAATAGAAGAGATAGCATGAGCCGGGAGAAGGATAAGCGGAATACCTCCCCAGCAGACAATAGAGTATCCTTCGGAGAAATCAAAGCAGCTCATGGATATTCGAGGAAAATGCTCGAGGCAATGGAGACTCATCACTGGGGGATTCCTTTCGGGAGCTGAAAGGAACTTCCCAAGGTGCACGAGCCGGATCCGCCGGCAGAGGGTCAGAGCGGGGCATATTCTTGAATCGGTCGCGAATAACGACGAGTAAGAAAGAGCAGTTGTTCTTGTATTTCGCTGGATAACCGGAGCTGCCATTTATTGAACGTCTGTCCTTTGATATCAATGAGGTCTGCATTCCGCTGTCTGATCCAAGACCTTTCTTCGATTAACCTACTCACTTCGGGCGGTTGAAGGTTCGATAAGCTATCTTCCCGGATCATGTATGCTGTAGATCCAGGAACATATGAATGTCTGTTTTTCTATACTCGAATCGAATCGATGACTCGTTGTGAACGCGTCATCATAGCTGCCGTCGATCCCGAACTCAGGATTGTTTTACAGAGAGTTCGTTTAGTCTATATATAACTCATAGTGGGCCTGATGAGAATCATCGGAATGTACCCTTATCCGTCACGACTCAGGATCCATTCAATTCATCAGCGACTATGTGTCCGGTTCGAGAGCTTGGACCGGCTCTTCTCAACATGGCCTAAATGTAATATGTAGAAAACAAAAGTCAGCGTATGCTTCTAAATTGCACTGCTCTCTTTTTGTTCATTGAGCTCGATGTAATGGACATTAATCCTTTAGAAGATGTTGTTCTCTCCGCGCAAAGAAACGAATCCTGTGCCGAAACTTCGATACTGTCAGAAATAAACCCATCGACTTGAGCAGTGCAATCGATCAGGAACTCCATGCTCCTCCCCCGGAGTATTTACCGGTCGTGATAACATTCAAGGTACTTGATTCTGAGCTCGAAGCTCTGAGCGGTTGTGCAAACCTGAAGGGGATTCGTGGTTCACGTCGTGTTTCTCTCCCCGCCTCGATCGGTCTGAGGAGTGAACCCGATATCGCAGTTTCTCACTGTGAGAACGGTTCGGAACTTAGGTCACGAGATTCTTCGGGAGCTCAATGGGACGAATTTTTATGCGAAGAAGAATAGATTTGGGATGATTTTTCACGGGAATATCCGTACCCTGACACTTCATCAATCGAGGAGAGGATCACGCACAGGACCGCATTCGACATGACATAATGTTGCCTGTATCCTTCGGCGGAAAATTGTAGGTTTGCGCTTCGAACTACAAGTGTATCCGCTCAGAGCTTTCTGTGTAAATGTCCGCAATCCTCGGTAGTTACACAGCGCACTCAAAACTTTGACATTTATGACTTGTTCGAGTGTTTCTAAACAGAGGATCGCTCGACACGATCAAATCTACGCTAATCGTTTTTCAATCGTCCGGTTGGGACATTGACCCGCATAAACTATTGGATTTCGCATCGGAGGGACGAGGCACGTGCGCGTAGTGTGGAGTGCCTCGTCGGCATATTGCCTCATCCCGACGCCGAGCCGTCGAGCGTCATTGGATGACATACTACCCGAAGAGGCATCGGAAGGGAATCGGGACTTTCGACTTTTGTTTGAGCTGAATATTCACTTCAATCGCTAACTGCTACCTAATGAGTTTTTTCGAGTAGCTCAGCGTGAAGAACGATCAAGCATAGGAAGATTGAGAGATGAGGCAGGCTAGAGATCTGTTCAAGCTTTTCAAGATTTCCGCGACGTCCAATGTCGCTACGCGGTGGATAAAAATTGAGTTATTCTGTTGTCTGAGTGAGCAAATAGCCTAATAAGACACTTTCGTCGCGAGAGAGTCAAAGAGCTGCCAATGTTGCGCCGGATTTTTTGGAGTGAGAGCGAGAGAGAAATCGAAGGAGATTTTTTCACGGAAATGGGACAAGGTTCAGCCGAGAAAGTGAAGAGATAATCCGTGCAATTCGACTCGTGCTCGTAGAAATTGTTCGACCTACCTGAGGGGACTCGACCCGTTCGGAACGGGTCGGTCGCAAAGCCACTTCGGCATTCATAGAAACTACTCCCAGAGTTCCGCCTCGATTGTTTACTTTTACCCCCTGTTCGTGTGGAGATCTTGAGTCCGCTTGATGAGTTTGATGAAGACGAATGATGATCTTCGCTATCATGATCGGATTCCGTTTCCGACTGTGAGCTATTACGATGTATCTCGGCACGGCGACGTCGACTTGACGACCATCGACACTCAAATGAATTTTCTTTTCCAAGCGGTCCATGAACAAGTGCATGTATCGGGAAGGGGTCCCGAACACGTCCAAGACCGTTTTTTTTCCAACGAATCCCGAAGAGGCTCGTGGAAGTAATTTACATATCTTCGTCTTCAATGTCGTCCGCGAGGTTACCGTGCAACATGCGTCTCGCGACGCGTGAGAGTTTCACGTCGATTGGAACCGTCTGATCGTACAGTGACGGAGCCTGAAGGAAGATTCCGGCAGTTCCAACGACGCATGCAATGGTGAATATCCACAGAAACAATCTATCGAGTACCATGGCAATATACTTCCAATCCTCACGAATCTGCGAAGGAGATCGATCGGGACTTGAGACGGAGGAATTATGAGTGGCGGAATCGTCGAGGGTGAGCGTCGTCGACCACGGGCTTGGATGGGGAGTAGTTATAGAGTGTCAACGATATAATTGGTCTCCCTCGGAGAAGAGATCACGAAGATAGTTGAAACGCTCCGAGCTAGACACATCCGAATAAATAAAAAAGAGAAAAAGATACTCACGCTTTCAAAATCATCATTGTTGTCAATGTGTTGCGCTATGAACATTGCGTGACGGATCGTCTCTTCGAAGTCACGTACACCGTGAACCCTGCCCACGAGCGGCGGAGGCGGTACGCTCAAATGAGACATATCACCGGCGACAACCTGATCGACGTCACACGATTCTTCGATTGTGTCGTCGTCAGGGTAGTTCACGAGAAGATGAGATGATCTCGAGCTCTGTGGATCTTGGGTGGAGCAGTTTGGACAAGGTCGTCCGAACCGCGAAGTGGGCGGTTGCGGAGGAGGCAAAGTCATATCCAAGCAGTAATTGCAGCTTCCGGGCGCGCCGTTGTACCGTGGGCACCTTCGAAATTAAACGTGCGAGGTCAAGTCGGGCCAGAGCACGGCGGCGCAGCTGAGCTCTCGAGCTCTCCCAGAAGGACGTGTCGAGGCTCGAAAGCTCAAGCATGGAGCATCATGTCTTTGAGATGCCCGAAACTAATACTCATCTGTTTCGAAAACATCGAGAGCCTCACCTGGGATAGTGGATTGCCACTCGCGGATCGGCCTTGGCGTCGTGGCTGAGTTGGGTCTCAGCCATTTTATCTTTGTGCTCTCGAGTAGCATCGTCGGTTTCGATTGTGTATTGAGGAGATCTCATCAAAAGAATTCTGGGCAGAACTCTTATGAACACTTTTCTGCACCACGGATGAAGGTGGTGAGTCGAAGGCGATCGGAAGTGCACGTTGAGCACTCCGATCGCCACTAGCACACTCAGCGTGACCAATATCATGGTAAACACCTGGAAAAGTTGTCGCATTGAATCTCTCAGGCTCCCGGATCGATTGTGAACAATTTTCGAACTGATGATGAAACAATGAGACTCACGAGGTATTTTCCGAGTAACGGCATCGCTAGCGAGGTCGGAGGTATGATTTCGACCAACACGAGCAAGAAGAAAGTGAGTGACAGCATGATGCTGATGGACAATGACACCTTTTCTCCAGAGGCGGAGGGCAGGTAGAACACCAGAATTGACAAGCAGGAAATGCCGACGCACGGAATTATGAGATTAACCGTGTAGAATAAAGTCTTCCGACGTAATGTGATGTTGAACGTAATATCTGGGTACGGTTCCTCGCAGCAGGCGTAGAACTTCTCGGTTCGTTTTGCCGGCACTGCCATAATGTCCCATTCGACGGAAGGGTAGAATTCCGAGAGATCGATGCCGAGTGGCACCAGATCGACACTGTCCACGTCGCGGATGTGTTTTAAATCCACCTACGGGAATGCACGTTCTCAGAGTCCGGAACTCATGCCTTGGGGCGGCCTCGACTAATCGCACTGAGAGTTTCCGAGGGAATCGATCGAAAGGTGCTGATCGAGGGATTCAGTCGTTCATGAAAGAAAATTTCCGATATGATTCCCGCATGCGAAATTAAACTTGCCATGAATCCGTCGTAGGTCCAAGATCCGAATTTCATGCTACAGAGTTGTTGATCGAAAGGAAAGTACTGAACGTCCATAAGACAACTGCTTTTGTATATGGCAGGAGGATTCCAGATAACAGTTCCTTCGTTGTTAATAATGGCTTTTGTCATGATTGTCACTTCGTAATTGCCGTCAGCGCTGAAAGAAAAGTGGACCGATAAGAATCTCGGGTCCCAACGCTCTTCGACGGTGATATGCGAGCGGTAGCGGCGTCGAGAGATTCGTGGCTCTCCTTCGCTCGCTCCGCGAATTTCTCTCATAGAGTCAACGTCCCGGATGAATGAACCTCTCCAGCGCTCGACACAGAGCAATTCTCGCGTCCTACTCACTTGTTGTACAAGACGATGTCCGGCAACCAAATTTGCTCAGCTGGCACATAGAGCTCTGTGACTCCGCCGTACTCGGCGGGATCCCAACGTAGTTTGTGATCGGACCATTCCTGCAAACGACACAGACTAAAATTTGAGCCCAACGATCATCGAGCTTCAGAGACAGAATCAGAGGATTTTAAGTCGGGATTAGGGGTTCCAAATACCCGCCAGTTTCGAGAACCGCGATTCTCGGGTACCCGAGAACCGTGGAGTCGGAACCGCGGGTAGAAACCGGAGAGAACCGAATTTTTCCTCCTCTGATTTGGGACTGATACCTGGCGAAACTGATCGAGAATTTTGAACCTACCCATTCTTCGGACCCAACGGACTTAGTCGAATTAATTTTATTCCATCAGAAAGGTATGTTTGCCGAGTTCAGTCTCCGTATTCGCGGTACGGTCCCCGTCGGCCAGCAGCGAGAGCAAGCCCGCTCATCTGTCGAGCGGCTACAGGGGAAGTGACCAGAACTGCCCCTCGCGATTCCGAATAAACTGACCCCCGAATATAGGTATGTAGGCGGCCTGATTATTCGGTCCAGAGGGTCTACCTAGCGAGATGTAATGTGGGGTTTTCAAAACCCGGGTCGACCTACAAATCCCGCGCTATCTCGTCTCAATCGCGAGGGTCAGTTCGAATACTTCCCTTGTTAGCGTGCATGAGAGAGACATTCAGCCATCGAAAACATCTCGGCCTGGATTTTCACTCATTCTGGAGCATGTCAATGGTGGTTTAGACGCCGGGAATGATTTGACTTGCCCCCTCGGAACCGCGGGTAAAAACCGAGAAAACCAGTCGGCTCCGGATCCGAGAGAATCGGCCGAAACCCGCGGTTCCAGAACCTCGGGTAGGAACCGCTGGAAGCCCTAGTCGGGATCAGGCAAGTGGGAGCAGCCCGATACTATTCAGACAATGATCCCCCTAATCTCGGGGAGCAACGCGTTCATATCGTAGTTTTGCACCTCTTTCTCACCTGATTAACCCAAACGTTTGTTGTCATTATCTGCGACCGGAGGTTCTGTGGAATATCGAAGGGAGGTTTTTCATCGATAGACTCCGAAAACGACTCTCTTCACTCCCATTTGGAATCAATAACTAGGTAGCGGTACTCACCACGTCAATAAGCTGGGAGAGTTTGAGTCCCATTTTGACAGTGAGCCTGTCACTGTTATTGCCAACGGGCCTAATGAGTCGGTTGTAGGAGCTCATCAGGTCATCATATAATCTCTTTGCATCAGGATTCGCTACTGTGGTCCGAAGAACAGAAGAGAACGTGCAAACTTGAAGGAACAGTACTGCGGCTCTCAACAGAGAGCGGAAACCATATTTACTGGTACTCGAACAGGGAGTAGCTGGAGCTCGCTCGTTGCGACGAGGTTCTGTACTCCCTTTCAGCCACATGATGCTGCTGGCTCGATTAGATAACAGAGTTGTTGCTCTCAGGAAACGCTACATATCGAACGTCGGAGTCTCTCCTTGTCACGACTTTCCACGGAAAATCTGTGGCAACGGAGTGCGACGGCCCTTCTCGAGAACTTGGAAAACCGAAAAACCTTCAGACGCCCTGGCTCCCTAGATTTTCGTCTCGTTCACTTATCCATGAAGACCTGGTCTGAATCGGAACTTCTCCTTCTACGGTTTCGACCCTCGGGGAGAAGGAGGCGGCGACGTCGACGATGGGGTCTGCTAACAGAGTCATGGATGACCTCTCCGGCGCGGTGCACTATCCAACACTCGAACTCTCTACACCGACTCTTCTGATAATCGGCTCGACAACATTCCACCTCGTTCCTCCAACGAGGGGTACAACGAACGGTGCGAAAATTGAAATATCGTCGGATAGACACAACGTACGCTATACAGGCTCCAAGATTCACCCCATGTGATTCGGAGCGGCCGCTGGGGATGCGGAGAGCCCGTTGCTTAGGAACCGGAGGAGCTTGTCGAGAGCGGAGGGAAGTGAGGAAGGTCTGGGCCAGCCTCGAACGGAGGGCCTAGCTCTCCTACGCCTCGGCGGGCCCGGCTGGCGGGAGCCGAGCCGAGCTGGCCGTCATGGAGAGCTCTCAACGGTTCGCGAGTTTTTTCCGCCGCCTATTGCTTGAGGTTCGCGTGCGAGCGGGGTCATGGGCACGCCTTGTGCGATCCTTTCCGTGGGTATTAAGAGCTTCACGCTCTAGCAGTGTCAGCATTCTGTGGAAAATTCTTGAATCCGATTCGAAGCTTTCTCGGGATACTTGTAGGGGGTCCCCGGAGAACCTCCTTTTCGGGATCGAGTTGATCAGATGGAAACAGCGTATTTTGAGGAACTTGAGAAACGACGCCCGCCGATTCAGGACTCAAAGAATAGCATAGACGATCTATTTATTATCAATTTTTCGCTGGGTTCGTTCCGCCTTCAGCCAATTCTTTTCTCACCTTTCTGCTCGCCTTCCCGAGTCAACTGGAGAGTAGCTGCCTGCTGCGGTCGGAACTGTACCCCTCACTTTTTTTGAAGCCCTTTCCGTGGAAAACTTCGAAGAAATGAGAATAATGGTTCCAGAACTGTTCAGCGTTAGTCCCGTAATCGGGAAGTATTTCGCTTCTCGTGAAAATCTTCGACCGATTGCCGAGTCAGTCTGCTAAGTCAGCCTTCTCCAACCTGCGAACTTCGGAGTGTAATCGGATGATTAGTAAGATTTGAGAAGATGGAGCGGCGATCTTCGCAGGAGCTCGTGGCCGCGATTCGCGGAGAAAGTCGAGTCCTTATTTTAGCTGCCGTCGGTGGATTATTAGTTCTATCTCCAGATGCTTGTTCTCCGCTTTTCAATCAAAACTATTCACCTCACGATCGACGCACATCAATGTAACAATGGACCTAATACAGACTTGTCTGCATCGATTTGGCGGCTCATTCCCGGAGCCCGGACACATTTTTTGATATCAACTCTCCCACTTTTCTCGTCTCAGAAAATTGAGAGTTTTTTCTAGTTCCTGTGAGCTGTTTTCGAGCTGGACATTGCTCGATCGATTTTTCGTTTCCCGAGAGCACATTGTCGGTCATTTTAACAGTGATACACGTATAAGGTGGCTCGCGCAGGTACAGCATGAGCGAGTGACGTCCGTTCGCAAGCGGCGCATCCGCTACGACTAACCTCAGAACTAACCGCGTCCTCGCTCAATTCCACCTCATGTCTCATCTTCGTATGTAGATCTTTAGCTGCCATCATCATTCAGTAACGAAGAGGGAAAGGGAGATGATGATCCTGAACAGGACAGTCGCCAGGATTTCGCCTCAAGCTATTTGAATCCGCGTAAAGCGATCGGATGAACGAACTCAACGGAATCGAGCGGATACCTGGCTCTGGGACCCGAGATGGAATTATAAGGCGTTCCTAGCTAATCAAAAGTGGGCTTAACCTGTCATGGAACAGAAATTTCGGCGATCGTCTCGGAACAAATAAGAGCAACAGAATTCGCTCGGGGAAGGGGATGTTGGGGCTGAACGAATGGAATGAGTTCTCGATAAGATTGACGCGCGTAATTATCAGATCTGCGGGACCATTAAGTAACCGAAGCATTCTGAAGCTAGATGAAAGCTCCATGCAGCGAAGCGTTCCCGCGTGGCATGGATCGATGTCTCCATCGGTTTTGTACAGTAGTATTGAGATCGTTGGATCACCGGGGTTCGACCTGACGATCGCTCCGGAGTCCGAGAGGGCTCGGTCAGAATCTCGACGGCGCTGCTGCGGCACCGAATAATATGGTCGAGCCTGTGTCGGTGCGACATGTTTATCTCGTCGGTCATTCTCGGAATTTATTCAACATTGTGCCTCGCACATGGATGGCGAGAGGGGCGCCCACGCGTCGACGAGGCTTGAGTAAAGTTCCGCTCCAGAATCCATGCAGGGGTTTCGATCTTCCCTCTCTGCTGCGACAGAATTTGTCCCGCTATGAAGTTTCCATTAAAAACTGGGTGATCACCCGTGAGTATACTTTTGTTCCATTAGACTTTGCTTAAACTTCAAGATTTCCGATAGCTGCTCATGTTGAACTGTAGAAGGTTGCCCCTTGTCTCTGAGAGCTTCCTCAGAGCCGGCATTAAGGCGTCCGATATAGATTTGTGAAGGGTGTTGAGCAGGTCAGCACTTCTCTCCTGTCCGTGGAAATCCGCTACGAAATCGAATCCATTAACTTCACTTGGGAATGTTGAGATCGATTCCCTTGGACAACATTTCATGCCGATAGGCAACGGCCTGCAACGGAAAGATAAACTTCAATGTTGTGTCGCCGGCAACCACTGCCGATTGAGTGCCTGAAGGCGGAGTAACTCACCCTGGGCGCGACTTTAGACAAGAGAACGTCGATCGGCACCTTATCGTCGAAGAGAGAGGGCGCCTCGAATATGATCGACGCCGACCCGAGTACGCAGGCCAAAGTGAAGGCAATCAGGAAGACTCGATCGAGAACCATGGCGATATACTGCCAGTCTTCGCTTATCTGGATCGAAAAATCCCAAACTGAATTATCCGTTCTCGGTTTTCGACCGGATGCAGAGACCTCTCAAGGGATCCTGATCACTCACCTTGTCGAACTTGTCTACGTTTTTCATATGCTTCGCTACGAATCGGGCTTGATTCATCGGCATTTCAATCTCTTCGAGATAGTGTTTTCTCTCATATTCAACGGAATCGAGTGAATCCGAATCCTCCTCGACCACTCGAGGCCTAGGCTGACCCTCGCCAACCTCAACCTCGCCTTCAGCCTCCTCAACGTCGTCTTCGGCCGCTTCTTCGTCCTCTTCGTCATCATCGTCGTCATCTTCTTCCATCAGAGAATCGTTCCCGTAGCCGTCGTCGTTGCACTCCAGCGGGTATGGGGAACCATGATACGAACATTCTAGTTGATCCATGAGACCAAGTTTCACATCAGGGAATCCTGAGCCAGAAAGTGATTCATCAGATGGTGAGCTTCAGACAATGTCGTTCCAGTTAATGATCAGAAATCCTGGGGTTCGAGAGGATAGCGAAAGTCCGCATCCTCAGGAATTCCCGCGAAACTTACCGGGAAGAGGTGGGAGCGGCGGGATCGTAGGATGCACCTCGACACCCTCAAAACTGACAGGCAAGCCGAAGTCCGAGTTGTGTGCGATATTCGGAGCCTCGCCGGACTCGCCGATGTCCTGTGGAACCCCCATTCTGTCCTGCTCTTCTTTTTCGCCCTCGTCGTCCTCGGGGCGTTTCATCATGAGGATGCCAGGCAACCACTCACAGAAAATTTCCTTCACCCACAAGGGCATCTGGAAAAGCCCGATCATGATTTCGTTAGCTACGGAAAGAGAATCGCGCATCGAAGCAGAATGAGTTGAATCGATAACGACGAGGGAAGCTTCTTGGCCCTTGCGACGAGTAATTCGAAAAAGTAAATATAGAACGTCTCATGTGGTGGCAATAAAGCACAGATGGCAGCTGCGCCTGGATCTCATACGAACCCCTTGACCTTGGAAGGCCAATAAGGGGCGGATTCTTTTCGATCGAGCCCGCATCTCATCCATGGGCCGGGAGTTCGACTTGACCCGAAAAATCGTCGAATCGGACAAAATTCGGCTGAGGAGCTACCGCGCGGTAGGAATCGGCAGAGGGAACTCCTGGGCATTCATGTCATCTGCTTCTCGGCTCTGAGTTAGTCCCGCTCCTCTATCGCACAAGCAGAATCAATCGAAGAAATTCGACCATATTGCGCTCCGGACTCGGTCGTGGCCACTCACCTTGTGGGTCGCTGGCGAGCGGAAGTTCACGTTGAGCACAGCGATCGTCACGAACACTGAGAACGAAACTAGCACCATGGTGAACAGCAGGTACTTGCCCAGTAAGGGCACCGCCAATGATGTCGGCGGAATGATTTCAGATAACAGCAAGAAGAACACACCCAGGGACAGCATGATATTGATCGACAGAGAAACCTGGAATTCACAGAGAGTGTTGATAGGCGCCCAATGATTCGAACTCGTTCGAATCGCTCAGCGGATGGAGGGTGATTCAGAGGCCTCACCTTTTCTCCAGAGTCAGAGGGCAGGTAGAAGACGAGGATCGACAAAAACGAAATAGCCACACACGGAATGATCAAGTTAACGGTATAGAAAAGAGTCTTTCGACGTATTGTGATGTTGAATGTGATGTCTGGGTACGGTTCTTCACAGCACGAGTAGAACTTTTCTTTGCGGCGCGCGCGAACGGCCATGATGTCCCATTCGACAGAGAGATAAAACTCTGACAGGTCTATGCCGACTTCGATCAGGTCGCCTTCCTGCTGATTTTTATGTTTGAGATCAACCGTGTAGCCGTCGTATGTCCACGAGCCGAATTTCATCCAGCACGTCTGCTGATCGAAGGGAAAGTATTTCACATCGATTTCGCAGGAGCTTTTGTAGATTGCGGGAGGCTTCCAAACCACGAGGCCGTCATGGTGCAGGATGGCTTTCGTCATGATTGTGACTTCGTAGTTCCCGTCGGCACTGAAAGACATGGGAAATTAATCATCATCCCCCTCTCCCATCTGTCCGCATGGGTCGATGGATAATTAGGTGATATCCACCACCCATGTGAATTCTATTTATTCTGGGGGAGCTAGCCTTATCTATCTGTATATATAAAAACGTATGTCTGTCTGTTTGTCTGTCTGTCCGGGGTACCCTATAGACTCGGAAACGGCTGAACCGATCGTCGTGAAAATTTAGGAGCGTGTTCTGGGGGATCCAGCGGTGGTTATAGGGGGGTCAGTTCTCCGATGCGATGAGTCCTTCTACCTTAAGAAAATTATTTGAGTGGCCCACCCACGAAAATACGAAAACTCGGAAAAAAATTGAAAAATCTGAAATTCGCAAAATTCACTAACGCCTGAACCGATCGCCGCAAAAATTCAGGGGTGGGTTCCCGGGAGCTTCTGGAAGGTCATCTGAGGGTCGTCGTTCTCATGTTATGGGTCCTCCCACCATAAAAAATTATTTGAGTGGTCTTCTCACCGAGAATCAAAGATTTCATCAAGGGAAAGACGGGAATTCGCAGGATTTCTTATCGGCTGGACCACCATGAGGGGGCGGATTCTTGGGAGCTCCTGAGAAGTCTATCGGGGGTTGCCGTCATCACTGGCCTCTGTCTTTTTACTAATGAATCTCGCTGAAAATCGCTGTAGCCGTGAAGGGTATCGATTTTCCGGAGGACATCTATATCTATATATATAAAAACGTATGTCTGTTTGTTTGTCTGTCTGTTTGTCTGTTTGTCTGTCTGGTGTCACCTATAGACTCGAAAACGGCTGAACCGATCGTCGTGAAAATTTAGGAGCGTGTTCTGGGCGATCCAGCGGTGGTTATAGGGGGGTCAGTTCTCCGATGCGATGAGTCGTTCTACCTTAAAAAAATTATTTGAGTACTTTTCCCTTGAAAATACGAAATCTCGGAAAAAAATTGAAAAATCGCAAATTCGCTTAATTCACTAACGCCTGAACCGATCGCCGCAAAAATTCAGGGGTGGGTTCCCGGGAGCTTCAGGAAGGTCATCTGAGGGTCGTCGTTCTCATGTTATGGGTCCTCCCCCCATAAAAAAATGATTTGAGTGGTCCTCTCACCGAGAATCAAAGATTTCATCAAGGGAAAGAAGGGAATTCGATTTTCCGGAGGACATATCTAATAAAAGCGGGGGCACGGGGAGGCGGGGAAACGGGGAAGTGGGGAACCGGGAAAGTGGGGAACCGGGAAAGCGGGGAACCGGGAAAGCGGGGAAACGGGAAAGCGGGGAAACGGGAAAGCGGGGAAACGGGAAAGCGGGGAAACGGGAGAGCGGGGAAACGGGAAACGGGAAAGCGGGAAACGGGAAAGCAGGGAAACGGGAAAGCAGGGAAACGGGACGCTCACCAAGAGCACGCGCGACCAAAGCAAGCGCACCCGAAGCCAGCGCACTCGGAGCCAGCGCACTTGGAGCCAGCGCACTTGGAGCCAGCGCACTCGGAGCCAGCGCACTCGGAGCTAGCGCATGTGTAGTGAGTCTAGCGATACCGAGTCGCCGCGAAGCGGCGACCGGGAGCGCTAGTGTAAAATGAAATTTCAATAGAGTGTCTCATTTAGGTCCAAATATAGATAGACAATGCCTTAACTCTCTAGGTCTTGTAATCATCGATCACTAACGCAGCACAACCAGCTGGTTGAATCGAGGAAATTTCGAGAAGCGATTCGTCGCTCCCTCCCGACTTGCGATACGATTGAAGTTCCCTATCCCAGAACATGCATCCTCCAGTGAATATATCATTGAAATCTCTCTATCGGAAACTCTCTTCGGAGGGCTGTGCATCGGGCAGAGCCTCGGGAGGTCCCTCCGGATCGGGAATGCAAGCCTTCTGTCGATTGAATACTCCTCGCCATGCCGAGTCAGACCACTGTTTTCGCGGAAATTCGGTGCCCACTCCGCGGATTCCCCTCAGACCTGGGGCAACGGTTCTCGTCTGTGCCATTGAGTGCTCTCGCGAGAAGGAGGGGAGGGATTTCGAAACGGAGACAAAACTCGCTCAGAAAAACTTCGTTTGGGGTTAAACTCTTGAATCAGCGGGTCACGTACTTGTTGTACAGGACGATGTCCGGTAGCCAAATCTGCTCTGCAGGAACGTGCAGTTTGCTCACTCCGCCGTATTCCTCGGGATCCCAGCGGAGCTTGTAGTCATTCCATTCCTGTTCGACCCACATGTTCGTAGTCATGATTTGTGACTTGAGATTCTGGAAATAACAGAATGCTTGACGACGAAAGCGAGAAAGACCATTCGCGGCGAGAAGGTTCAAGCCCCCGTAAGCGCCCATTCAGCCTACGTGCGACGATCGGTTAGGATTCCCGAGTATTCTTTCTAGTTTTGAAGATAGGATCCGAACCGCTCATTCCGGAATTCACAGGACGTATGCGGTGAGTCTACCGCACTTGAGGTATACTGCTTGATTCCGCGAGAGGCGTGCCTTTCGCTGTCTTCGAGAGGTCTGAAGGAATTTTTACGGTGACATCGATGGACTCCTTAAACGAGCCCGAGAGCACAGCGAGTGTCTGCGGTGGAACCTCCCGGAATGGAGGCTGGCCCACATTTTTTGGGGTGCAGCAAATTCTTCTCTCGGAGGCGATCAGATCCGGGTAGAGGCTCCTGGGCGAGGGACCTCTCATTGATTGTTCGAGAAATGGCAACGGTTGGGAAATTAGACTCGCGCCTCAGATGAACTACCCTCGAGTCCGAAAGCCGCTATTCCTATGGAAATAGCTCTGAGAAGTCAAATGGGCTCAAAAGCTGGACTTTTCCGGAGGAGTCGAATTTCGCGATTCGGATGCGATTTCGGAAATTTCGGTGCTCTCGAGAGGAAGCGCGTCACTTCGAGAGGATGATAGCAGCCGAGGTCGAAACATTGCCCAAGCCAATCGACCGAAATATGGGACAGAGATGAGAATCTAGTCAGGGGGATCGTCGGTGACAATGACCCGATAGCTCGCACTGCGAAGACTTCGCTAAGCTCATCGTGTCGATATTGGATTATCTATGTCTGTAGCTGACCGCGACGTCAAAAGAAGCGGTTCCGTAGAGACAAAGCCGAGCTGCCCCCGCCGATAAGACGGGAACGGTCCGTGGGAATCCGAGGGCAATGTTTACTCGGTAGCTCCCAAATCTGTCTCGGTCCGGGCAGCTTCAGAAAGCACTTGAATTCATCAGCGATTCCATCAACACGATGCCTCGTGACATTCTCATGACAGAGTTCGATATTTTCTTCTTTCGGAGCGCTTCTGGATTGTGGTACGAGTTCCCTGAGCAAGACTTGGAGAACATGCTCATCTTCCCAGCTGATCTGAACGGGTATCAGCTGGCGATTGGTCAAGGGACTGGAAGGCATTGGTGGAAGAAGGGATGGCGCTTGCGAACGAGACCATCGTCCGGGGCTCTTTTGATGGATACTCTTCGCGTCGTGAACTCGTCTTGAGATCGTAGCGCATCGCCGCCACCAGCGTCGATCACAAGAAAAGTGTTCTCCCGATCCGATACTCACCACATCGATGAGCTGAGATAATTTCAATCCCATTTTGACGGTCAGTCTATCGGAATTATTTCCGACGGGTCGGATCAGCGACGAATAACCATTGATTAGATCATGGTACAGTCGCTTCGCGTCCGCATTCGCTTCGGCTGTGGCGAGAATGGCTGCCGATAGCAATGTCAAAAACGCGCAATGAGCTGCGGATCCTTTGCGGATCCGGAATCCGACGGCTGCGCTCCGACGGCTCGTGCCACAAGCTTCCATTTTCTCATCAGAACCACGGCCACACCAACGAATCAAACAGATTCTCGACCTCGAGAATCCACAACTCCCCCACTACGACTGCTTGGAATCGCTGCCGGAGTTGGAGCAAGATGGCGACGGCCACCACCAGCCCTTGGTCGTTCCCGGTCCCTTTTCTGACCCGTACCCTCTTTTCCATCTTCCTCCTCCCGCCCTCTCCCAACCCCTACCAACCCTCCCCGTGTTCCTGCTGCCCTCTCCCCGATACGGTTCTGCTGCCCTGTTTCCTCACTCCCTCTCCCGGTCTCCCCACGAGATTCCCATGTCTTTCCTTTCCCTGCTTCTGCTGAGCAGTCACAGACGTAGAGGGAGGGTTCCCTGGTTCACTGCCCGGCTCATCAGCGGATCCAACCCATGCTTTCCCTTGGGCCTCTCGTCGAACATACGTATAGCAATCATTGTTAAGTGTACGGCAATCATTGATTATTGTGCGAGAATAAGGGTCTGAGCCCAGTGGCATCACTCAACGACAGCGGTATTCTCAGAGCGGTCGATGAGCATCAAATTCCATTTGTTTTCGCATCTCACACTTAAATGAGAGAGACACCTGGACAGACGCCGCTAGGCCCAGCCCCGCTCCGCGCGTGGGAGCAACGTCTTACGAGATCCGAACTCGAGCCGCGGGGGGTCGCACTTCCTCCCACCGGTGATTCCTGGAATCAGTCCACGAACTTTGCTAGCAGATAACGAGTCCGATGTGGTCGACCCTCCTGCTCGCGGCTCTGAAGTCTGGAGCAGAAGATATTGCGAAACTCCGTGGGCTCGTAGAGAGGGGAACTGTGCGAGGGAACAAGCGAGAAAGGGTCACTTGCGCTGAACCCGGTTCACGCTACTCGATGCGTCTCCACGCTCGGCAGCCGCGTCAGAAACTATTTCCCTGAAAGGAGCGCGCGGAATCAAGCCGGAAGTCCTATAGGGAATATTTTTGGCATTGTAGACTGTAAGCGGTCCTGCACGAGTCGGGCGAGACGCGAGACACATCCCACACGATTCCCCCGCAGCGATACAGTCTTTCTGCTCGGAGCTCAGTGTGCGGGAAGCGTCTACCTTGCGACCATCTGACCGGTCCACGGTGGGGTGCTGTGAATTATCAGAAATACCGCGATTTTGGATCGATGAAATGACATCCTCAGAAAAAAGAGGGTTCACTGCTAGTTCGGAATTGCGATACCCTTTTTCAGTTTTTTTCCGGACTACGTGCAGGCGGCGGGAGGCAGCATTGATGGACGATGCGCTTATCAAGGCGCGCAACTGGAAGTGGGCCGATCTTGTCCGGCTCCCCGTCAAGCAAACACCTCCATTTAGACGAACTACGCGTCTGGGTGTATGGGCTCTCCATCCGAGTCAGGATAGCGACATTTCCTCTACGTCTGGTATCAGCGTGAATCCAAGATCTACGAGAATCTTATTTTTTCTTACGTGGAATCATCAATATTCATTCAAGTACGCGATTCTTTTTATCACCTACCCCACCTTGCATTCGCGGTTCGAGATTAGGCAGGAGAACAGTATCCAGATGTCTCCAATACTGAGAGGGTGACGAATCGTATGTCGGTCATAGACTTTTCCAGTTCTCGTCGATTGGGGATTCTCCCATAAGAGTGCCCTCGGCCCTCTCTTTCCTTAGAAACAAGCTGGCTCACGACCGAATCGGGTCACTGGAACCTCGCCTCGGGGCACGCGGAAGGGGACGCGATATATCGGTTCTGACACAGACAAGGGAAATCTCATGCAAAATAGGAGATTCAATCACGGCGATATTACTGGGCGTCCATCTTCATCGCAGCCCGTCTGAAGCTGGGATCTTGACGAGTCCCTGAATCAGTTGCCCTACTTTTGTCAAGTTGTTGCCTCAAATAAGGCTTGGAAGCGGTTGAGCAGCGCTGGATCTGGGACGTGGCTTTCGAAAGGCTAATCTGGAAATGCCGCCCAGTCTCCGGAAAAAGGGAGCTGATTTCCAGTCTCCCGAAAGTCCCTCCTTGCGTTCGGGGCATTCTGATTCTGATCCCCAATGCCCCAGCTATAGACAATGTGGCGTCAGCGGATCGACAACGTATTCCAGCAGCCCGCACAGGGACAATCGAGACGAAGAGGGGGAATCAGATTCTGCTCATGGGCTTTGTGATCGCTCTCACTCAGTTTGCTAAGCGAAGAATCGGCCATTAGCTAATGGACACTGAGTTCGCGGTCTCGATGAGCGAGTTCGGAGAAAACTCTTTATACGCGATGCGAAAGGAATCAGCCCGATGACTGCCCGATGAGAAAGCTACAAATGAGCTCGATCGAGATTTCGAATAAACGCGCTTCCGGCTGTCAGTCTCCTCGCTGCCTTCTCCCCGCCCGGTAGAGTTTGGAGAAGCAGGGGGCAGTCGAGAACTAACACCCACGTCGCTCCGTTCGAGCCGTTCGGAAGCGCTATCGGCACGGCTTCGCTAAGCGAGTAAGACACCGCCACGACGCGGTACGGGTTGGCGGGAAGACGGTGAACCCTATAGATGGTGTCAGAAGAAGCTCTTGTGAGTTGGAACTGCCCGGCTCGCCAGCCCCCCTTCCCTATGGATACCGAGTCCGGCTGAGATCTGTCCAAAGGAGCAAGGGTTTGAAGGCGCTAAACGCTGCTAAACGGGAATGAACTAATTCCCAGACCTTATTTTATCTTGAGTGTTTGTTACCGATAAGCTGCCCTTTGAAATCTCTTCCGACGATTCTCTGGATCCGAGAGGCAACAGCGCCACCGACTCTGTGTCGATTTCCCATGCCAAAGAATTCATAGTGCTAATCGAGACTCGTTTATCTTCATTATCCCCCGTGACCGCAACCCCATCTGGGTAGAAAGGTTCAGCTTCGTGCGAATTTATCTTACGCGCAAAACAGGCTTCGAAACCTTCCATATTTATTCCGTTCCTTACTTTAATCCTTACTATGATACCCAGACATGTACAAAGTCAGAGGAGGCTTATTCCCTGAAGCTCCGTCAACTCAAGAAGTTACCTGCAATCTAAGCATGTGGAGGTCCGACTCCTCCGCGGAATGAAGAGCACTGATTGACAAGAATGTGGAATGGAGAATACTTGAGACCAAGTCGCGACATCTCGAACATCAACACAACCTGATTGGAAGAGTCAAATAATCAATCCGGAACGGCTCATCCGGCTCATTCATAAAACGTGAAACAAGTGTATCTAGCTCCAGTCGATCCTGATTTCTTTTCGCATACATCCAGTTTTCCACCCGCATGCACCGTGATCTATCCACATTCTAGGAACATTTCTCCACTGTGTTCACCCACAGAATTCACTGTATGGCCTCGGCGAAATATCTCATTTACCCTGGAGATTAAAAGCCTCGTCGTCAAGATTCGCATCACAAAACTATCACGTAGATGGTATGTACACTCGCTCGATTCCGCTTCCGTTCAGCGCGTTTCCTCGCCCCGCAATTCTGAACTGGCTGATCACGCACAGTTCACAGAGGACGGCATGAAAACGGAACATGAGGAACGCTGGGAGGCCCATTATCCATTTTTGGCATGCTTGATACGTTCTTCCAGGGAAATAATACCCAAGCTCAGGCAAAAGGATCTAGCTCGACACATCTCACGGGGCGGACTGTCCGAATACATAATTCGAGGGTTTCGTCTTCGAAAACGAATGATAGGAGGTCATTGAGCTGAGGCACATTTTCTCAACGAGCCATGACGCTAATAGAGATCCTCTGAATGCAGTCCTGTGACTCCTCGCTCACATACATACTTACACACGCACTACATTCATTCGTTCATACAAGCTTTCAGCTTTCAATCTGAACTCGAATCATTCTCTTCAGGAGCATGAACTCCCGAGTTGAGAGAACTCCTAAGGAGGTACATCTCCTATCGACATCAACGTTTTCCTCTCGGCTTCTCCGCTCGCCTTGATTTTATATCAGCTATCGGTAGTGGCTCCCTCCTCCAAAAACCGTAGGTCCCGCTCACGCTTGCTCAAAAGTCAATGGCTTCCAGCTCGCTCCGTTGGTAAAGAAGTTTCCTTGCGCCGCGACCGCATCCCTTGAACTTTCGCCGCACTCAGACTCCCGATTCAATGAGATTGGGTTCTTTTGGCATGTCCAGCGAAGCCGGAACTCGATCGAAAAAGCATGTTCCTCTCGAAGGCGGGCTGTTCTCAATGCTGCACAGACAGGTGTGCTCCAGCTCCTCCTTTGCCGTGTATTGGTTCGCCGAGTCGCGATGCAGGAGCTGGCGTCTCTCGAAAACTGTAAATTCAGAAGAAGAATGGTTTTATTGATGCGCATGCGGAATGAAACAAGGATACCCTCGATAGAGATTCCGATAGAATTGTTCGATATATGATTCTCCGGAAAAGCCGTAGCTCACATCTGGATTTCGTTGTGAACGTCCGATGAGATGTCGAGTCTCTTTTTGAGTAGTTGGCCGAAGACTCGTAAGTCGCGGATCGCTTGAGGAACGACATCTTCGACTTCAGACCTTGAGGCAGAATTCTGATGACCTCAGATTGCACTTCATTATTGAAGAAACAGTAAAGCAACGCGACGACTGAGCCCTGGAAGAATGGATCTTTCCGTGTCATCAATGTACTACTAATCATGACGCGGAGAGAGAAATGTCATTCCTTGTCATTCGATACAGAGCTTCTTTGATCCAGTCTGCCTCTGTTCCGCGTGAGACAACAACCTGGGGTCATGCCCGTACTCCAGGAGATCGTGAATAATTTTTCAACAATAATGAATTGTTCTAGTCGCATGACATCCTCGTCAGTCATCGAAAATCGTTCCGGATTTGTGGAAAAAAAGGCGTGTGAATTGACTGGACGCCCATTAGGTATGTATCGGAATGCAAGAATTGTATGTACCCAATGAACTAGTTATTAGTTGTTGCTTCGTTTATTGTTGGCTGTTGGCGTCTAAGTGATATTCTGCGACTCGCCTGCACCGTGGCTCACTCGGCAAGATCGGCGACTGCATTCTCTTTGAACTATACTCGAAATTCTGCTCGACGCTTTCCCGTAGAAATACCATTTTCCAGGACGTCCCTCGGTACATGAGAACCGAATCTGTATTCGCATCAGACAACGAACGGGGAAGTGTCCTGCTGCGCACCGCCAGCGGGACCAGGAGGAAGCTCGTTTGTACTCAATCTGTGCATGTTTTTAGGTTAGGATTCGTCCACAGAGTCTCCAGGCTCCAAGGTCCCAACGATGATGGGATTTCCATGATAGAGTGTCCTCGTGTATGGTAGGTGAAAACCTCCTCTCCCGACGGGGCAAATGCCGCATACCTTCAATTTTATCAAGAGACTTCCGATCTCACGCGGGGGAAAAGGACGTTTCCATGATGCGCCTCGGTATCCGCGAGGCTCATTTTCATGATGCTAACCCTTCGTCCACAAAACGACGTCCGTGGCGACAGCATGCATGCAAGTTATCAAATTGAGCCACATGCTTTCGCGAAATGCTTCCGCATTCTTTCTTGGCCCTCTCTTCGCCTGCGTTGACCGATCCGGATCGACGCGCCATGACCGTTCCTATCTCGAATCGATGAAAATCGAGGAATAGTATCGACATCGAAGCCTGTGGACTCGAGCATCAATGCTGGTCCGAATTTAGAGCGAAGGAGCTTTCGGAGTCCACTCGTGTCCTCCTTCGGCCCAACTCTATTTCCCGGCCGCAATCCCCTAAGGTAAGAAGTCCCCCCCAGCTGAAACCCACCTCCAGCTTACGGAATCACATAAGGCAATTGGATATCGTGCACCCAAGTCTGGACTTTGTGACCGAGTTCGGTGACCGACGACGCGCTGATCTTCCTGATCCAAAGACCGGCGCCGGTAAGGGCCTAAGCTCCGAACGTCTGATGCGGCTCGAATTTCCGTGCTTGAATTTCACCGTCTGACGAGAAGCCATATTTCAACGACCAGAGGCACGAACAAACACGACCACTCTCGGAATGATTCCTCAGCGCTAAACCGAAGGTATCGGCTATGATTATAAGTTCCTCATCGAATTCCCATTAACGGAATTTTTGAATTCAGAAATTCATCAAGAAGATTGAATTGAGTAAGTGACGCGTCGGAATTCCGAATTCCGCATTCTCCGCCCGAAGACATAGCTCTCCTCCTCGTCATTCTCCAAGTCACGCGTGAAGACTCGTCCGTTTGTTTGTTGCTGGCTTGGCTCATCTTGAGCTACCTCCACAAGACATCCGGATGCCGATACATCTCACTCTGTTTGCGTTGAGACTAGTGTTGCCTTTCGGACCCGCGAGCTTTTCCTTTTGTTTCCCTCCGGCTGTGAGCATCGGATGACCACAACACATCCTTGGGCTCTTCTTGCTTCCCTTCAGTCGTCGTTTACCTACGCTGCCTGGTTGTCGATCCCAACAAAGTGGTTTGGCGATTAGCTCTGTCACAGACGACGACCAGCTAGGCGTGAAACCGATCACCCAAAGCCGAACTTCCATTAGCAATGATTTCACCGGACTGCCCGGAGTAGAACGAGTGACATCGGACTGCACGAGTTCAGAATCGAATCCACGCGTTTCGGGAGCTTCGCTTCAATCTTTAGTTTATCTTCGAGGGTATTCATTATTCCGCACAGATCTCCCTCGCAGCTGGCGGCGACTCGTTCGCCCCGCATGATTCTTCTTCAACGTTCTCCAAACGTCCTCGGAGTGAGATTGCGATCCGAATGGAAAGAATCCGAACCCCAAGAAGGTCCGCCTGTCTTTGGAGAGCCTCCGAACGAGTGTTTTAGCTCCTCGTACAGAGAAAGAATGAAGCGAACTTTGAGGTTCAGTACTTTCCAGAATAATGATAATTTGAAATTAAATCTCTCGAATCGCTCAACAAGTCGAGCGAGATCTCTGTCCTGTTCGACCGAGGTAAGCAGATTCGGGGAGCTTCCTCCCGAACAAGAGGAAAACTCTCGCAAGGGAATCGCTCTCGGAATGGGTCGCCGAAGCCGCGATGGCTATGAAAGTGACGGAGCGTCTCTTTTCTCCAGAGCCCTGGAAATCTTCGATAACGTTTTGAGGTCATCTTCGTCCTCATGGGTTCTCACTCGAGGATGTACAGGGGATGGCAGGGACTTCGACGATTCTGAGCTATTAGACTTCATGGTTTGTGTCGGACGGTGGACGCAAGCTCTTTTGCCCTTACCACGTTGACGTCTCTCTTTCCGGCGGAGTATTTTATGGAGATTCAACATTTGAGGTAAGAGATCCGAAAGTTCATCGAGGTCCGAGTCTATTTTCCTGCTGAGAGGAGATCGAGATGGGCTTCCGGATCTCCTGGCAGACCTCCTATGATTACGGCTATGCTTCCGGCTGCGGCGTTCGTCTTCAGCATTTCCTCTTCGTCCGTCTCTTCCCCTCGAGCCAACCCTCGGCCCAGATCGTTTCCTCGCGCCTCCCGATTCAATGATCGCGTCCCCATTTGGATCTCTGCACGTCCATCTATCGGCAGTATTCCCTGCAGGCTGCGACATTTCCAAGTTCTGCGGAACCGGAGCAGATATTTCTGGGAGCATCGTTGTCCGCAGAGAATTCGAGAGTTTTCTCACGAGATTCCAATGACAATGAGGGGGCTCACAGCTGCGAACGACCGAACGACGGCGAGACGAGTTCTGCCGCCGCGCGGTGCACTGGGAACCGGTGAATGAAAGAACGTTCACTGAACGGAAGTTTCCATGAAGCAGCGCATCGGATGTTCCGTGCTGGGAATCCGGAAGGAGAGAGCGCGGGCGAACGCATCGCATTGGGGTGTCGGCGAGCTTTCTCAAGCTGAGCCGAATAAATTTCCAGACAGCATGCTCACGTGGAGACTGAGTGAGAGCGAAAAAGATTTCCCAGGGAGGTCGTCTTCCACTAGTGACGCTATTTTGCTCCTCCTGGTGAACTCTCTCAATAGAGACAAATGACAGAGCCGAATCCGTAGCGGTTTCCATTGCAAGGGTGAACGGGCCAGGGAGGATCCCTCGTCATGAATTTATCTCAATTCCGATCATGCTGCAAAGAGCGATGCTTCGACGCTCCATGAGGTCACCCTTCAGGGTTTAGGGAGTCCAAATGACGGGGAGGGGCATTGGAAATGCGTTCGCACAATGACTGAGGACGAGATTGAGGAACATGGAGATAGACGCGAGAGAGAGAAGAAACCTCGGCGGGGAAGCAGTAAGGGAAGGGGCCACGGAGACAGAGACATGTAGACTGAGAAGGAGACACGGACGAGGAGAAGGAGACATGGCTAGAGAGAAGAAGTCATGGAGACGAAATAGACTAAATGGACAGGGAACGTGACATGGAGGGACAGAGCGAATGAAGCCACCCAACGGCGTATTTCATTTCTGGAGACTTGTGAGAGGAGCTTCAGAGTCTTCTCTCGAAGATGATGATGAACAAGCTGGGCTTTTCTCCTCCGAAGTGTTATGGCTCCAGCCATTTTCTCGGCGAAGCGGAGATGAAACGGGAGCCTGACCTTGATCTGGTCTGCAGGTCGAAGCTTAAAAACATGCGGATGCGAGCCGCGTTCCTGGATATGATGGCTGATCGAGAGGATAGAACGAAAATACCGAACGAAAATCTACCGCGCTGAAAAGTCCTTGCTGCTGGAGATCTCGCTCAGTCCAGGAGAAGCTGAGGTCTGGAGTTTTCCTGGTCAGCCTGCGTAGGTCAGTGATACACTTGCACAACGAAACCAATTCTGGGCATGTTCCTTAATGAGTCCGATTCATTTCGACCCTCAATGGAACGGGATCGGGTTTGATGGACAACGAATAAGCAATCCGAAGGCCTAGTGTTCGACATCGATGCGCTGCGTTTGAGCCAGAACGAGCTCGTCACATCTTTCATTACGACCTTCCTGTACAATTGCTATCTAGGTATCAATCATGAGTGCCCCCGCTTAATGGCAATGTCTTACCTGGAACGACGAGAAAATTTGGTCGATATACAGCCAGTAGATCTGCACGATGTCGTCATCAACCAAGGAGACTATGAATAGCACTGTATAATGTACTCCGAACAAAGGAACGAGGACCAACGTTGATCGGAACCACTTCCTGAAAATTCGATTCCCCATTCAACAGTGGAGGATGGATCTCGTATCCGGAGAACGGCGGGAATCGGCTCGTGGAAAATTCATTCGAATGCTTATTCTCACCGATAGCGAATATTACGATTGTGGCTCTCTTGAACCGCCGTCGCAGATGAAACTTTCAGGAATACGACGCGCGTTATTCTCAGAAAGAAGAAGAAGTTCAACTGTAAAGAGAGGCCAATGCTGAGAAACGTTTTTCGACCGCTCCTTCACCTATGAGCAGTTCAGCTCCATCCCACATAGGCTTCCTTGGTCGTGACTCGTTACGGAGGAGGAGACGGATATCGAAACATTATGAGCGAAAAGCAATCGTTATTAGAGCAGCTCCGCTATCAAACTATTCCGTGCCTGGACTCATCGTCTTTCGCTACCGTGGTCACCGACTACTATCTGTTTCACAACAAATGTCGTGGTCGAAGTTTAATATCTATAACGCTCCCGGCGTAAAAACTTCGTTAGAACTTGTGAGCGGAAGCGACCATCTCGAGAACGCTTTACGAACCAATGGAGAGGCATCCTTACGACAGCGTCAGATGATGACTTCATCTTTAACTCGAGTTCGCTAGCTCCCTCGGATCCCTTGGTCCGGAGAGCTCTTTTCCGAGGCGCTCTTCAGATTTTGCAGGGCGGACTTCAGGAACGGAACAGAGCTACTCACCACTATTGAAAAAGTAATCGGTCCTCGGTGTATCCACGTTACTGCAGGTGGTCCAGTAACCCAGCAACTGTGAAAAGGATTCGAACTGTCAGGACGCAGAATAGAGATTACTGCATATCCTCACGGGTGAGAAGTGTCTAGAATTCATCCTCCCTTCTGCAACGATCGGGTGAGGGAAGGAGGGGGAGGGGGGTTCGGACTCTGTGGAAGCTATCGAATCGTTGGAGGGGTTCTCCTCGCAAACGAGAGAACAGCTTCGTCGCTTATCAGACGAGACGTAAATAGCTGATCCTCCAAGAAAGTCCAAAACGAGATTGATCAGGAAGCTCAGGGAAGACTTGAAAGCAAGAACATCGGAACACCGGAGCGATATCGGTTCCCTAAGCTCCAACACGTCGACTATCCACCAGTCGATGGGCAGTCACACCGTTTTCAACCTCGAAAGCTCAAAATAAAACCTCGCTGAAAGGGAGATTCCTCCCGGGCAAGTGGACTCACTCTTCATTGTCCATAATCGCGTTCACTATAGTCCAGATGATCACTGAAGGCATCGGGAACCCTGCGGGGGTTTGTCTTTAGAATTCTGTCAAATCACCCGAAAATAATCACAACACCGAGAATAAAACGAGCTTTTCGAGCATAGACGTAGCGTAGACGAGTTTCGCGCTTCGGATAATTATGATAATCATTTTCTATATACTTTATTATACAGGCGTAGAAAACGATGGACCCGCCTATCAGCGAGCCTCGAGCTGACGAGAGCGCAGTTGGTAAGAGCTACCGAGAGTTATTCTGGAAATCCCTCAACAGATTTCAAACTCTCCCCTCTTCGCGATTCCCTCGCCCAAATACTCCTGCCTTGCGGGAGAAATGATCTCCCGATTATAAGGAAGTCGCTTCCGTGATCGAACTTACCCCATCCCATGAGCACGTAGCTTGTGATCTTCGAGTTATCCTTATATACAGACATGAATATGAGATTGTAGAGATAGAGACCCTCCATCAGAATCCAACAGTAATTTGCTGCCAATGTGTAATGGAAAACGACCATGAAAATTCGGCAGCCCGTATAATCCTGAAACAATAGAACAATTCGTTCGAAACGGGAGGACTACAACCGCTGAATGGAATTCACGAGAAAATGGGCCCAGCGGCCACGATTTAGTGTCTCTGGGGGAAAAGATTAGATCCTCACCGAGCCGAACGATTGTACTCCAGTAGGGAACACGAGGAACTTTGTGACGACGATGAGACTTCTCAGCATGAATGACGCGAAGAGATGCAAATGCAATTTGTTCCGTGGACATCGAAGTCGTCTGCAATTTAGACGGAGAGAAGAGAAGCAGTGGTGAGACTTCGTGACTTGACGTGACTTGACGTGACTTGGAATCGCTCAAGAGCTTCCAGTCAATTCCTATTCTCGGCGGCACCGGTCGCCCTGGCACGTTTCTAAAAACCAAGACGCAAATCAGTGCCGGTACATAGCACGACCGGCATGCAGCGACGGACACGCGGAAATTGGGTCGTGGGAGGGATCGGCAAACTTTCCGGAGTCGGAGCATCCTTCTCGAGAGAAAAACTCACGGGGGCAAAATCTATTCGCATCGCTTACTGCATTCATGAGCGCATTGGACTCGAGACGCACAATTAACGAATTCAAGCGTTCGGGCAATCGCTATTATCGGAAGCCGATCGCTGGAAAAAACGTGGCTCAGTTTCCGACTCGGAAACACATTCAGCAGACGGGAGCGGCTCGCGGCAGCACACGGACTGTGCAACCTGGCTTACGTCATTCTGCTCCGGGATGTTTGTCTGCTCACCATTGTATAATACTTCTGCGATTGCCCTGGCGACACCCGCAACAGTCGGCCGCTTTCGAATCCCTATCGGGGTCCCGATTCCCCTCGAGCTCGGACAGGCCTCTCGTGGAACATCCCTTTGAACTTCCTCGCAGGTAGGGTTCTGAGAGAAGGACTCACGGAGGTGTAACTCCATCGATTCTCATTGAATTCGAGAAAAACTCACTGAACATGAGGAGGAAGTTCCTGTCGTCCGTGTCGAGCTTTCGGGGACTTCGGTTCAGTTCTCTGAGCGCGAGCAAATCGTGTGGAATGAATACGTGAGCTTATCACCAAGCTCCCGCTCGAAGGTTTGGAATTCTGGGGAGTCGGTCCGACTCCTACTGATCCCAGAGAAAATGGAAAGTCAGACTTTTTGGAGTTCTCGAGAAATGGCGGAGATGATGAGTGGAAGAGTCCTGGAAGACCGTCCGCGAACGGCTCCCGACCGGGAGTATCGTTCCCTTTTTCAGAACATTCGTCGGATCAATTTATTACGACCTATCTGAATACCGAGATGCCCTCTTCTGAGCGATTGTGCTGCGAGGCTTACGACATTGAATTTTAATTTCGATCAGTCATCAGAATTTTCCCTCTCTTCCGCGAGTTTCGAGAGATATATGGGTGTGCCCCGTCGCGCTACGCGATACAGATTGCCGCTTGCGCCGGCCGTCTCCGGGAAGGAGTCATCGTGACTTATCCAGAGCGTTGACGTATCGCTCAAATGGTGTGGATCAAAAGCGGGCTCGCCGAGATAAGCGCAAATTCCGGTTTGATTCGTGAAAAAGCTGGGGATTCGCGTCTCCTCTTGATTCGGGTCCGTACGTCCCGGAACTACGTTCAGGAGCCCCAAGTACGGCGAGCTTTGCCCAATCAACGTTCGCTGACTCTCAGCGTTCGCTGACCCGAACCACCGGGAACCCCGCGATCGGATCTAACCAATTTTAGATTAAGGTTACATCGCTTCTTGGGTCCCAGAAGCGGGCGAGCCGGCGGGCCAAGATCAGACGATGAAAATCGGAGTGCTTGCTTCGATAAATGACTTCGTCGGATGAGCAGACGCTCATCAGCGTTGCTCGGCGTCTTTTCAAACTCGGAGAGTGACCAGTACGGAAAGTTCTAGTCTCCGCGGCTCAATCTTCTAATTGCGAATGCCCGTCTATCCCGATCACTTGGACAGAGTGAATCCACTCCACGGAAGTGGCTGCGAGTGCATGGCTGACCAGTTTACTTCGATGGAGGTGTTAACTTTTCCTTCGCCGGGCGGCGGTCCATTTCGCACCCTCGTGTCGCGGAAGCGATCTCTGCACAAGCTCGGGGTCATGTTCGAGGGTACGTAATCCTATCACTTCAAAGCTTTGGAGCGAGCCACACCGGCGTCGAATTTTTATGACCGGACAAGCGACAGCTTCCTTCGATTCCATCAAGTCCGAGCTCTGAGCGGAATGTCTTCGTATCTGGCTAAGTCGTCCCTGGATGCCTCGTGAATTTCGGAGTTGACTTCTTGTCCACGGTCTTCGAGGATACGCCCCTCGTAGAGCTCGGGGCTGGTCGTAGAATTCCTCGACTCATTAGCTCGATCGCTTCATGAGCTCCGTCGCGTGGCGAATATCACCGAGCATTCGTGTTTGATGAGTCGTTGCCAAGCGAGCAGCTCGTGTCGAGCTCATTGGAAGATCCGGGAGGAGAGCGATGTCAACCTCTCACAGAGGTTGACTCCCATTAATATTCGTTCGACATCGCCCGGCTTGGTGATTGACAAACATTGAACCGATCAAGTTAGAGCTGTCCACACGTGAGTCAGATTCGAGAATCAATCGCTCTAGTTCCATACATAGCGACTAAAGCACCGAGTCTTTAGATTCCGACTGCACCCCAACGGTCGGATAGCTCAGACGGAAACGAGCGTGAACGAGCGCCAGCCTCGCTCAGGACAGCGAAGTTGAAAATTCTGCCTTCCGGAATGAAGAGAGCAGCCAAAAAATTTACGACCCTCGCAGGCGTAAAACCTCCGTCCAGTTGCGTAAGGCGGAGCGAACAACAATCAAAAGACTGTGTGACCACGACTGCTATCGACAGCGAGGGTGGACACGGTGGAGCCTCGGCGTCCGCACAAGCCGCAGCTTGTGCGAGCTGTTTGATCAGGGAGCCCTGCCGGAGACGTCACAACAACATCGAAGCTATCGGTCAGCTCGAACGAAATGGCCCTCATGAGGCCTCTCGATTTAGCTGAGAGCAGGACTTGAACGCGAATTCTAACCCTTAGTTTCCAGCTAGCCAAATAGGTACTATCATAAGTCATTAGTGATAGGAGGATAAGTATGGAAGAGGATCGCCATCGACATCCCGGAACCGCAACCCATTACTCACTTTAGAGAAACTAGAAGGATGAAAGCTGCAATTAAGAGTATGAGGGATGTCGAGTATCCGATGAAAGACACCCGTTTTATGCTCCTTAGGTATTTCGTCATGACGCGAATGTATTCGAGGTGAGCATCGTTGAAGCACGTGAAGTAGTTCGGGGGTGACCACTGCCCTTCCGCCGAGCAGGTCCGGGAGACGCTTTCTGGAAAGAAAGATAAGCGGGGATGAGAGGCCTGGCAGAATGGAGGAGCTTGCGATAAGCCTGAGAACCTTCCCCAAGGAGAAAAACGGTGCTCTTATCGCGGACTGACTGAGCATAGGGAAGGATGCGGCGTCGGATCCATATGTTTTGGATGCGGAATGGTTTTCAGAGCCGAATGGACAATATTCCGCGGCCAGAACTCACTGTGCGAGCTGTACTGTTTGACTTTGGATGGACAGGTCTGGTTCAGGGTTTCTCCGGGTGACGCCGATCTCCAGCATAACGAGCCGTCCCAATCGGCGGGGCAATTCCCTCTCATATCGTCCGTCAAGTTGCACCACGACGATGACGGCAGGGCCAGGCGTTCGTCGACCTGGAATCGTAATTATTCAATTATTCTTCGTTAGAGATTGTCATGAGCTTGCGAGTCAAACTGTCGCAGGATACTTCAATTCGATTCGTGAAACCTGAGCCCGCCCCGGGATGGCGACGCGCCGGCCGTCTATCGAGTCTCTCTTCTGCGGAAAGAAGTCAACGACAGGCCGACGATCGGTCGCTTGTTCACAAAGTGGCTGCCGCCATTTCATCATCGAACAGTTTCGCGAGAGCTCGGCTGCAACAGCTGTTTACTTGCGGCATGGAGTCCTCAAAAAGCGTCCTCGGTGTTCTGCGCCGGGGAGGTATTGCATAAATCCTTGCTCTTGGATCCCAAGAGAAATTGGAAAACGGAGGCATTGGTATCTCCGAATCGCAAATCTACTCCGATCTACGCGATTACAATTTGGTCGCATTTTTCGCTTCGGGGATTTTTGGAGTTTGTGAGCTCGGTGAGACATCCTTTCGGCATCTCAATACATTTCTGAGAGCATGAAATACTCCGAACAAGGAACTGTTGGCCTCTCTCGGCCGTGTGGGAGAGAGTTAACCACTGTCGGGAAGAGAATTATTATCGCTGCGCTCGATTCTGGACAATGGAAACGAAGGCCCCGCCCTCATCATCGATAAGCCCGCTGCCTTCGATTGCGTAACATTTCACGCCGTTATCACTCGAGCGGATCCCTTGACACTTTCTCATTACGCGATCGCGCCGCTCGTGTTTGAGTTTGTTGCCCTGGTCATCCGCCCCGAGTTTCGATCCAGTTTCTCTTTCGGTCACTGGATCTCTGTCTGCACTTGCCAGCACGCTCTCACTCAATCAATCAGAAAAACAATGTTCTACTTGTTCGGTCAATCTCCCTCTCCACCTCTCTCGCAGAAGCACCCTCGAGGCTACGTATCGTGGAACATCGCTACATATACGGCTCTTGGTCATCGTTCCGTCGGCTCCACACTCCGAAGCTTTGTTGATCAGAAATATTTCGGAGTTCTGACCCACAGCTCGGCGAATGTCTGACCCGGTGTTGAGCATGCGAGCGAAAGGAGAATCAAGACGCCCGATAAGTCCTTGAAACTTGATTCTTCATGCAGCGCATCCGGACAAATCTAGACCCAAGACGACGGAGCTGCACCCCGAATACCTCTCTGCAGATATCGGCTTTTTCGATGCAGCATCTGCCGGGGATACAAGGAGGGACGCACATGCGGAGAGATTGATTGCAATATCTTGATTTCCCTCTCGATTCTACCGATCCGAGGGTTCTGGTGCGAGTCAAACATTGCTTTGGACGACTTTCAATACTCTCGATATCAAACGTGCCGATACACTTCTCCGGTGAGTCGACAAGTCGCTCTGCAAGTCTGATAATTTTGGACGGGCCTTCGCTCTCTCCAAACAAGCGTATTCCCCGGGCCCACTTGTTTTTCGTATTCTGGGAATCACGGAAGCTGAGAAGCGAGCACCGTCGTCGTGTTTGTGACCGTTGCCTTGAGATTCTGCCGGATTTTTCCCCCGAAGCCTCAATCCTGTGCTCCGGAATCTCCTACCTGAAGCTCGCGGAAATCACCCGTTCTCAGTGTTCTACTTAGACCACCCGTCAGGGACTGTCAGTATCGAGGTTTCCGTAACTTTCTGGAAAAAGCGTCACCCTCTTGCCCTGTGGCCCATCGATCTGTCCTGCCCTTTCCGCCCTAATCCTGCAGAGGACTCAAATTTTGGACCCGTGTCTGATTTGACTTACCGGCCAGTCCCTCTGAATCGCGACAGGGCATCTTCTTGCGACGTACTAGAGGATCTGTTCTCGAGGATCCGAATCTGGAAACCTCTGATCCCAGTGTTCCTCATGGTGTCGCAGCGAGTTTTAAACCTTATTCCGAACAACGCTTCTGCCTCGAGTCTTTATCATGTAGCGATTCCAGTCGTCTATAGGAACTCCACCCGTCCGAAAACGCAACGCTGGATCCCCCTCAGGCCTTATGCCTCATCAGGATGATCGTCTCAGGCCTCAATCGAGTGCGTGGTTCGAGCTTATGCCTCAGGCCAGCTGACTCGACATCTGATAACTCCGTCACTTCCACAATTGCTCCCGTGTCCTCTTCCCGACAATCATGCATCTAGACTCGCGATATTGCTCCGATAAAGCGTGGTGCCGCGAAATTGGACGCTGAAGTCGATGGAATGCGTGACCAGTGTCACACGATTCGGTTCGTCCCTCAACATTGTATGCAGCGGGCATTGCCATTTTTCCCGGGAACGGTACGCGAGGCATCGTCATCAGGCACGGTCGCCCGTTTCCAGTCAGTCGTGTGTACCCGGCCACCTCGCCTCCGAGGAAGGTCAACAGGACTAATAATAGGTAGGAAGGTAAGTAATTAGGCTGACAAACCACCGAAACCGTTTTTGTAGTCCTCCCACAGATTATCGAGGAGCCAGGGATGTTCCGATGGGCGGTCCTATATCGAGCTCAAGTAGGTGATCGTGGTCTGCAGTGACTGGTCAGAAACTTTATTGCGATATCGCTGAGCCCCTGAATTACAGGTACATCGGAACGACTACCGCTGACGGTAAGAGAGAAAAACATGGGGGACCGAGGGAGGAAGAAGTCTTGAGCGATAGACCGACTAGCTTGTAGTCGTTCGTCAGTGAGCGAATACAGTTCCGGCCGCCGGATACTCTCGACTTCCTCGAGATGGGTAATATCTGTGGCAGCCGAGTTGATGTTCGTCCCGTGACTGTTTGTCTTCCGCAATAGGCGATGGTCTACAGGAAATCAGAGATTTCTTCTGTGTCTCTCCCCTAGCAGAAATGAACGGAAACGTTATCGAGTTCTTCCAGGGTCCTACTGTTGACGCTTATCGTCAGCTTCCTCCACGATACTGAGCCTAGACTCTACATATTCGTTCGGATCGTCAGGCGAGGGCAAGCAGACACGGGGATTCGGATGACGATATACGCTCATTTGTCCATGGATTATATTTCCCTCACTGAGCTCGAAGGAACGTGGGAGAAAAATCATGGACTAGGGAACGTCTGACCATTTCGAGTGAATTCAGGAATTTCGCTGTCCGCTGCTTCCGCGGGAGAATATCCTGATTATTGGCAACGTTTCTCCCGAGAGCCGTGTCGGCTTCGAAAACTGAGCCGTGTCGCTTCGCTGTTGATGATGATAATTTTCCGGATCGATGGCGGGACCGTGATCTATTCTCGTCGTTTTTGTCCGGATCTGATTCGCTCGTGGCGCTTCACTTCCATGCAGGTCGCATCCCGGCTTGTCCGCGAATGAAGTGCTCCCCCATCGCGTCATGGATGCCTCCGCTGCCTTGCACGATTCGTGAGCTCAAGCGAACGTTCCTGCTGATATGTATACCGTAAATCCTCCAATAACAGCCCCCTTACAATGAAAGTCCCTCTCTAATATAGGCCCCCCTGCCGGAGCTTGTGAGAAAATAGAACCCCCCCCCCCCTCTCCAATAGGAGCCTCTCTCCAATAGGAGACCCCGGACTGCCGAAGTCGGCTGAGTAAAAGCTGACGCGATAGATACTGGACTGCGGCGCCCAGGGATTTCCACCCAGACCATGAACACGCTCTCCCAGAAATCCATCATCACCTTTCCGGAGCAAGATTTCTCTTGGAATGTTAGAAGCCCCCCTCCATGCGTGAAGGAAATTCAGATCGCTTTTCGGCGCACTTCGGAGCTGCCGGAAAGCCAGGAATGCTTGCTCTGGATGACGCGACGTCTCGCTGAATGCGCAGAGGCGTTCAGCCCCGTACTGCGCGGTCCTCCTTTCCTGGTCGCATATGATCTCGTCTGCATACTTTCTTCATCTTGGGGCACGATTCAGAGGGTTGATGCACTCGTCCAATCCAACTCTAGGCACACCGAGAGACGACGCCTATTTCTCTCGGATTTAGATGCCAGCCCTATCGGACCTCGAGTTTGGAGCGCCATCGAACTCCCTCGTATGGACATGGGGCAACTCGTCATCATCATGCATAAGATACGCAGGCTTGTTTTTGCATATGAGCAGTATCTCAGGGCGGTGTTTTACTCGTAAAATTCCGCAGTCTATGTGGGAGATGATTCGATTTATACTCGGACATTCTCTCCACAAAGTTTCTCGGACCTTTTTGCGTGGGAATCGTCAACCTCTCGATCAAATAGGTACTCGCGAGAACGAGGTTAGAGGCAGACAGGGTTGTTCAATTGGTGATATTCTACCTCCTGTAAGTCTGAAGAACTCCGACGGGAAACTCGATCAGGGAATAGGGAATAGTCCTCTTCCACCAGCCTCGGGTAAGCCTTGCAATCCATAAGATGCTATGATGAGCTCGCAAGGGTTGCAGGCTGAGCGGATGGTGTCTAAGGTGGGTCTGGCACCGGGCTCGACTCTGGAAGGGAGTCCTGAAGGAACCGGAACTACTTTCGAATGCGAGGCCCCTATCGACTACAGGTCGAAAATCGGCGGCAGCGCCGAGGGGGATCATATTTTGAAGTCCTTCATAACTCGCAGAGCGCTATGTTTGCCCATACCCAGGAACAGGTTGCGATGGAGCAAACGAGAGCGCACCTATATTGTAGGTAGCTGAACGGGATTCTGTGAAGGCAAGGAAGATTCAGCGCGATCAAGTTCTTCGGCGCTTTCGTACCTCCGCTCCCGTGATAAAGAGCTCACACCTCGGAGAAAAATTGCGGAAGTTCGAGGCAATTCGGCATATTTTGACGAGGGAGCGTGTCACATCCCCCTCTTTGGTGTAGAATCAATCTGATTTGTCTCTCAGGCAAAGAACTTTGTTGCAGCTTGCGGGTCAATAGCTCGCTCAGTTCGCTACTGATCGGGGAGCGAAGATTGCCAAGGCTTAGCAAATTTCAGGAGGTATCTGCCGTTCGCTGTTACGTCAAGCTGTCGTCAACGATGAAGGTCTCTGGGTGGTACTTCTGACGACAGGAATTCTGGGTACCCCTGAATTCTGGATTTCGCATCGGTGGAACGTATTCTCGGAATCTGAAATAAAGGCCTCGCTGGAAATTCTGAGTTCAAGGATTATCAGGCGAGGAGAAGAGTGAGGCCGATATCGGAGAAGAAGTTCCACTTACAGAGAGGTTGGACTCGAGTGAACCAAGAACTACCTAGGTAATCATCGTGGAGCGTGTCAAACGGAATATGTACGGAGCTCGCAGCATAGAAGCGCTGCGCCGCAGAATAATCTTCATCGCACGTAACTCAAAAGCGAATGCGGGAGCTCGTTGGGGCATTCGAGCCTACTCGCCGCATGTGATCTTGTTCGCGTCCCTCACCCACTTCAGACGATTCTTCTGTTTTCAGGATCGAAGGTCAGTTTCGTGAAATTCGATCCTAGAACAGAATAATTCTCCCTCTCGATGTAAAACGAAGTCCCCGCGTTCCACTAGTATGTATCGATTCTCGCAACTGCCTTCCCTCTTTCTGGCAACTGTTTGTGCCGGCGAGGA